AACCCAGTCAGACAAAAATTTAAAAAATGAATTTTAAAAAAAATGAACAAAGCACTTGAGAAATATGGAATTATGGAAAGCTTCCAAACCTACAAATCTAAAGTATTCCTGAGGGAGAAGAAGAAAAAGCAAAAGTGTGGAAAACCTATTTAAGGGAATAATTAAGGAAAACTTCCCTGGTCTTGCTTTTTAGTTTTCTTAAACAAAATAATTGTCTGCTAAAACATTTGTATGCTAAACTAAATTTCATGAAGGAAAGAGAAATAAAATCTTTCCCTGACAAGCAAACACTAAGAGAATTTGTCACCACTAGACCAGCCTACAAGAAATGCTCAAAGGAGGTTGCACTAATTTGCAGTCCCACCAGCAGTGTAACAGTGTTCCTGTCTCTCTACATCCTCGCCAGCATTTGTTGTTTTGGGATTTTTTGATAGAGGCCAATCTCACTGGGGTTAGGTAATATCTCATTGTGGTTTTGATTTGCATTTCTCTAATGATTAGAGATGTTAAATTCTTAAAGCATGATTAAGGTTTTCAAAATTTACTTTCAAAGAAACATCCTGATTCTATGTAGATAAGAATTTGGAGATACCTCAAAGAGCTAAAAATAGAAATACCATTCGATCCAGCAATAGCACTATTAGGCACCTACCCAAAAGAGCAAAAGACATTCTATAATAAAGACATCTGCACTCGAATGTTTATGGCAGCACAATTCACTATTGCAAGGATATGGAAACAACCCAAGAGCCCGTCAATTCATGAGTAGATTATTAAAATTTGTTATATGTATACAATGGAATGCTACTCAATAAGAAACAAGAGTGATCTAGCACCTCTTATATTTTCCTGGATAGAGCTTGAGCTCTATCCGAAGTGAGGTATCACAAGATCAGAAGAATAGGCTCCACATGTACTTGCCATCAAATTGGCACTAACTGATCAACACTATGGTGCTCACACGGTAGTAATATTCTCCAGGGATTAGGGGGTTGGGGCATAAACTCACAACTAATGGACGTAGTGAGCATTGTAGAGGGGAAGGGCATGCCTCTAACCCTCGCTTGGGTGAGCCAAAGACATAAAATGTAACCAAATTGTTTGTACCCTCATAATATTCTGAAATAAAAATAAAAAAATAAAAAACAAATAATGTTGATATATTGCCATTTATCTATTGATATTGATATTGCAAATATCAAATGCATATGCCAATTCTGGGGAGATAGAGTTTACATCTAATAGGTACTGCTATTATGTATTTTATTTGATCTCTAAATCCATTAATAATTTTATTTATTATTTTGTTTCAGAATATTACAGGGGTACAAATGTTTAAGTTACATATATTGATTTTAAATGAAATGATGGGTGCCTTATATCTGTCCTTTAGGTGTTGTCAAGTTTAAATGAGGCAATATTTAGAATACAGGGATTATTCCCTTTAATATTTATTTTTCTCATTTTATTGTTCATTATTACAAAGGATCCTAATCAGAATTATATCACATCCTGTTGGCCAAATAGTAGATTTCTTTCTTCTCGACTAAATGGTCTTAAACTTCCCATTATGTCAGCTTTTTATTTTCTAACTTTAATCAAACTATGCACATATTCAAAGCCTCAAAAATGGCAGTACTCTGTTTCCAAATATCCTCTAAAAAATGAAGGCCAGATATCAGCCAACTTAAAATTGAATACTTATAAATAAAAAAGGAAAATTGGCATTTTTTAATATTCAGAGGCAATAAAATGATTACTACAATAGCACCTAAATTGATTTTCCCACCACCGGCATATCTCTCTACTGAATCAAATCTTCCACATTGAAACTAGATTAATCTTCCAAAACATTACATTTATCATGGCCAATACAACTCTTCACTCTTGGATTAAGAATAAGAGGGATCCGTTATTATTTATCAGATCAAGTTTCTAAACCTTCACTCTGGCATTCCATGTCTTCAGTACATTTCCTCTACTTTCCGTCATATTCTTCTCACCCTCCATCTCCTCCACCTCACCTTCCCTTTCCCTTTTTGCCTGCCCTTTCGCCTCTCTCTCTTATTGTCTGAAAGAAATCCTGTGCCCAAATAATACAAGTCTCCTCCCTGTTTCCCATCTCTATACCTTTATTCATGTCATTACTCCCTTATCCTGCTCTAACATGCCCAGCATTCTACTTTTTAAAAAAATGTTATGGAATTATTATGATTGTACTTATTGATATGATGCATGTAATATTTTGATACAAGGATACAATGTCTAATAATCAAATATGAGAAACTGGTATATCCATTATCTCAAACATTTATCATGGCTTTGTGTTGAAACAGTCCAAATTTACTCCTCTAGTTATGAAATACACAATAAATTACTGCTAACTATAGTCACCCTGTTGTGCTTCTGAACACTATGAACACTCAATCTTATTCCTTCTATCTAACTGTTTTGTACCCATTAACTAACCTCTTTATCCCCACTTTCCCACTACTCTTCCCAGCCTCTGGCAAGCATCATTATACTCTCTACCACCATGAGATCATTTATTTTTTTTTAGATCCCACATAAAAATGAGAACAGGTGACATTTGTCTTTCTATGCCTGGCTTATTTCACTTAACATAATGTCCTCCAGTTCTGTCTATGTTGTTGCAAATGACAGGATTTCATCCTTTCTATAGTGAAATAATATTCTATTGTACATATGAACACATTGTCCTTATCACCTCATCCATCGATAGACACTTACTTTGATTCCATATCTTGGCTATTGTGAATAGTGCTTCAATAAGCACAAGAGTGGAGCTATCTCTTTGACATACTAATTTCCTTTCTTTTATATATATTCTCAGCAGTGGGATTGCTGTACCATATGGTATTTAAATTTTCTGATTTTTGGCAAACCTTCATATTGTTTTCCATAGTGACCATACTCATTTACATTCCCACCAACAGTGTACCAGCATTTCTCTTTCTTCACATCCTCACCAGCATTTGTCATTGTTTGTCTTTTTGATAATAGGCATTTTAACTGCATTGAAATGATATTTCATTGTGATGTTGATTTGCATTTTTATGATTAGTGTTGTTGGGGATTTTTTTTATATACCTGTTGGTCATATGTATGTCTTCTTTTGAGAAATCCAACCCATCCTGATCCTTTAATCTCATCCCTCAGTTCTGTTCTTTTTTCTGGCTTGAACCTCACACTGCAGTATCACAATTAGATTAGTCCCTATGTTTCAACCCCATTGAGTTAGCACCTGGCAAAATCTTTCTTAGCAGTTTCCTATTGGTCATTTTATTGGGGCATTGGGCACCCCAGGATGAGACCACCATGTAATATATCCAAACATATAAATCTGGCTTTGGGTCAAGACAGCGTCTGAGCTCATGGATTCATAAATTGTTTCAAAACAATGTATAATTCTTCCATAACTTCCATTGCTAGGCTTAAATATGGAAATCTGCTACCATTATGGTTTTATTTCAATTTGTCATTTATTGATTGGTATATTTTAGATGTACATATTTTCAGGGTACAAGTAATAATTTGATACATTTATATAATCAAATTAGGATAATTGAAGTAGTCATGCTACCATTAGTTTTACACAGTCACATAACATATTCGATTCTGTTTCTGCTCCACATGTGAACTAAATTATAACAGAGTTTGGTGTTCACTATTTATACCTTTTCATGGATAAGGTTCTCAGAGTAGGCACACCACCCACTATAGTAGTTCTATTGATATTTGTAAGGGAAGCTGAATTGGTTGTATGTACCCTGTCTTGGCAACACCATTACCACTACTCTAATACCACCTGATCCATCAGAAAAGAAAAAAACTGAACAAATGTCTCCTTATTCTCTCATTACACCCTAGACTTCAGCTTCATTGCAAAACGAGGAGTTTATCTTTGTCCCCAGGGTGACACTCACCGCCCATACATGTGCATATCATAGTAAATTCTAGAGTATCATGTAGTTTTAAAAATCAAGTCCTCTTCAGCATGCCCAGTAGCCCACATAAATCACTCTTATGCCAGTATAGAGTGTAACCTATTAAATCATTTAATTCATTCACACATTAATGTTTCATCATACATTTCTTGAGCACCTACAATGAATGTATTTGAATCCTGATTTTCTGGACTAGTTATCTCACTTTTTTCAGTTTCTTAATCTATAAGGTAATAGCTACATCAAAGGGAATTATGAGGATTACAAGAGATAATGTAAAATGCTTAAAGTGGTAACAGAATGATAGTAAAAACTCAATAAATGTCGCTTATTACTATATAGTCATCATTATTATTCATTACTGTGTGTGAGGCAGTATTTTACGTGCTGAAGATAGAGTGATAAGCAAGAAAATCTTAGTCCCCTACTTTATGGAATTTAAAATGTAGCCCACAGGCACTGTACATTAAAGCCAATGACAAACTGCCTTACTTTCCCCCTGATTCTCATCTTCCACTGGCTTAAAACTAATAGCTTGATATTTACTTTGAAAACCTGAACCCTGAACTTCACCTCCAGGTTTTACCACTAGCACTGCCTGAGAGATTTTCAGGCTTCCTCTCTACCTATTTTCTTCTCTTATGCCCAACCTGAATCAACATAGTAGTTAACATATAGTGTTTTTAGAAGAGGAAATGGAAAACATGACTCTATAATAGGTGTATTAATGATATATTTACTTGGTATCCACAGAGTCTAGGGCCCTGCTATATGGTAATATTTATTTCTATTGCTGAAACTGAGGTCTTCCAGAGCTACATCAATACTTATTTGTGACAAGGTTTTATCAGGCCTTCTACCTCACCTGTGAAGGCCTGCCTATTAAAAAGCTGTTTTAAAAAAGTTCAAGTAATCCTATTTGGCCTTTACCAGAACTCTATATCTAGTACAGGAAAGTGAAGCTACCAAATAAGATGGAATTACAACAGAACAATTAGAAGAAGAAAAACACAACTTTAACAGAAAACATACCTCCATTTGAGACCTATTGGAGTCACTTCGAGAAAGACTCAGTCGCAGGCTCTTGTGTCGCCAAATGAGAATTTCCTTTGCCTGTTCTGCTGTTTCTGTTTCTCCTGGAAGGGTGTACCTGTTATATGCTGGAGCCTTATCAAAATACACAACATGGAGATGTCAGAATTAAAGTTCCAATGATATGAACATTTAAAAAAGTGAATAAATTCAATTTTTATACATAAGTAAATTTGATATAAACTGTTAATGTATGAAAGGTATTAGAGGTCTTCAAAATTTCAAAAATGTATAGATCTCCTTTTATCTTTTATATGTCTCTCTCTACTGGGCTAAGAAATAAGGCACATTTCTCAAGCCCAAATCACTCAGAATTTCTTCAGTTTAAAGACTTTAAGATGTAGCAATAAAATGAACTAGGTTTTAAGTAAACCGATATTTATTTCAGTTGCTTGTTGTGATACTTTTGAAACTACTGAAGTCCACCAAACACTCAAGAAATAAATAATACAAATCCCATACAAACACTTCTAGAAAAGGGAAGGAGAATACCTCCCAACTCATTGCATGAGGTTAGTTACCCTAACACCAAAACAATACATATTACAAGAAAAACAACTACAGACCAATATCCCTGATGAACATAGATAAAAAATCATAAACAGGTTTTTATCCAATTGAATCCAACAATGTATGAAAAGAGTAATTCTTCATGACTAAGTGGGATTAATCCCAGGAATGCAAGGTTGATTTAATATTTGAAAATCGATCAATATAATAAATATATTACCTAACCAAAAGTAAAAGAAAACATAATCAAAAAATGCTGGAAAAACAATTGGATAAAATTTAACACCCATTTCTTATAAAAAGTCTTGGCAACAAAGGAATAAAATACCTCCTGCTAACATTAAACATAATGGTGAAAGACTAAATGCTTTTCCTCAAAGGTAAGAAAAAAGACAAAGATGTACACTCTTACCATTTTCATACAACATTCCTCTAGAGAGGCTATCCAGTGCAGTAAGTCAAAAAAGTATGAAAAGCATGCAGAAGATAGTAAGGAATAAGTAAAACTGTCTCTATTTGCTATTTGCAGAGGACATCATCATTTATGTAGGAAATCTATCTAATCAAATAAAAAATATTCTATGAGAAATAATAAGGTATTTTAGCAAGATTATGTAATACAATATCAACATTTTAAAATCAGTGTTTTTTCTATATATCAGAAAGAAATAGGGAAATAAAATTCAAAAATAATACCATTTGCAATAGCAATGAAATTTTAAATACTTAGAAATGAATTTGACAAAATGTAGAAAAGACTTTTACACTAAAATTTTAAAAATTCTGAGATAAATTAAAGAACATATGAATAAATGGAGAGATATACCATGTTCATGATTCAAAAGATTCAGTATTACAGAGATATCAATTCTTCCCAAATTGATCTGTAGATTCAATACAATGACATCAAAATTTGAGTACGCTGAATGATGCCAGTTAAAATAGTGGCATAGGCAGCTCAAAGGGTATGTCCCTCCAAAGAACCATAGAAAAATCAAGCAAAAATTATCAGAATCAACATTGTAAAAGTTACAGAAAACAACTGAAGGATTAAAGCAACCAAGTGAATGTCAAATCAATAAAAAGACAACTTAAAATGGTAGTAAAGCTTTATGGCACTTTTATTTGCCCTTATTCCATGAAACTCCACATCTCTACAGTAATCTTGAAGATGGTAACCCACGTTCTCAGTGTGGGATACCAGTTCCTATTTCTAGAGGGAGCAGAGAAGACTTTATTCTCAAAGAATTATGTTCATCTATTCTAATTTGTCTGAGGGTTGCCTGAAAGCCTGTCACAAGGTAGTTGCCTTTGTTTTACCTAATTGAAAGTTTATACAGGGTGGATAAATGACTAGATGGAGGTCATTCCTCGAAAACATTGTAGCATATATTGGGGAATTCAGAAAGCCACAAGCATGACCAGGTAAGAATGCATGTGCAGAAATGGCCTAAGAAAACCCTGAGCTCTCACCTCTGGCTGATCTCCACACTTAGTTCAAGCATAAAGTGAAGGCTAAGGCAGATTAGTAAATTTGGCCTGAAAAGCATTTACAAAGTGTTCCAACCCAGAGCCAATCTTCAAAGACTAGAAGGTTTTCTTTTCTATTATCTTAATTTATTTTTATATTCTTCTGTCTTTTGTTATTCCACTCATGGCATTCATTGAAATCTGTCTAAACACTAGATGAATACAAACAAAAAGAACAGAGACTTCAGAGACTACATGTGGCAATGAATACCACTTTAAGAGTTATCACAAATTAAAAATAAATCTATAGCCCATAGCAAGCAAAAACAACAATAAACAATTCTGAGAAGGTGAGGGAAGAATCTTTTTTCCAAAATTACCACGTTATAATATTTGAAATTGTTAGGGTTTTAGAAAAAAATATGAAGCATACAAAGAAACAAGAATGTACAGACCATTCACAGAAAATATAATTAACAGAAATTGTACTTTGAGGAATCACAGACATTGGACTCACTAGACAAAGAGTTTAAATCAACTGTCTCAAATATACTCAAAGAGACAAAAGAAACTATGGGCAAAGAACTAAAAGAAAACAAGAGAACAATATATGAACAGATAGAGAATATTGAAAGAGATGGAAATTATAAAAAAATAAAACAGAAGTTCTGGAGCTGAAAAGTACAGTAATGAAAATAAAATTCACCAAAGATTTTCAACAGCAGATTTGAGCACGTAGTAAAACAAATCAGCAAACTTGAAAAGAGATCAATTAAAATTAATCTGAGGGAATAAAATAAAATATAATAAAAATTAACAGAGCTAAGATATCTGTAGGACAATATCAAGCATACCAACATATGCATAATGATAGTCTCACAATGATAAGAGAAAGAGAAAGGAGATGAAAAAATATTTGGAGAAATAATGGCCAAAAATTCCAAATTTTATAGAAGACACAAATCTATACATCTAAGAAGCTCAATGAACTCTAAGAAAGATAAACAAAAAGAGATCCACATTGAAATACACTATAATCACATTGTCAGAAGCCAAGAATGAAGAGCAAATCCTGAAAGCAGCAAGGGAGAAGTGATTCATCATGTACAATTGATCCTCAAAAACAGCAACAGCTGATTGATTTCTCATCAGAAACCATGGAAGCCAGAGGCAGTGGGATGGCATATTTAAACTGCTGAGGGAAAACCACCATTAAGCAAAAATTCTATATCCAAAAAACCATCCTTCAAAAATTAAGTAAAAATGAAGACATTCTCAGATAAATAAAACCCAGGGAATTTACAACTAGTAGACCTGCCCTACAAGAAACGCTAAACAGATCCCTTCAGGCTGAAAAAAAAATTAAAGAGTAACTTAAAGCCATAAAAAAATAAAGAATTTCAGAATTCAAATAAATGTAATTACATAGGTCAATATAAAAGCAAGAATTATACTTTTGGATTGCAACACCTCTTTCTGTTTCCCATATGATTTAAAAGACAAATGCATAAAACAATAATTATGAATCAATGTTAATGCATGCATGGTATAATGTACATGTATAAATATGTAATGTCTGACAATAAGAACCTAAAGAGGAGGAGATGTATAGGAGAACACATTTTGTGTACAATTTAAGCTAAAATGTTATCAATGCAAATTAGACTGCTATAAATTTAGTATGCGAGAGGTAAGTCCCATTTAATCGCTAGACAAATATCTTTAAATTTTTCAGAAAAGAAATAACAAAATAAAATTGGTACACTACAAATAAAAGAAACAGAAAAGAAGGTGTTAATGGAGGAAATGAATTACAGAAAAGGTATAAGAATTATAAAAAAAATAGTAAAATGGAAGAAGTCCTTTCTTATCAGTAATACACAAATCTATAAATGCAATTTGCCACATAAATAAAAGCAAGAGCAAAGACCATTCGATTTTCTCAATAGATGCAGAAAAAGCATTTGACAAAGTCCAGCACACTTTTATGATAAAAACTCTTTTAAAAAATAGGCATAAATGGATCATACCTTAAAATTATCAAGTCCATTTATGATAAACCCATGACGAATATAATACTGAATGGGGAAAAATTGAAAACATTCCCACTTAGAACCAGAACCAAACGAGGTTGCCCACTATCTCCACTTCTATTCAACATAGTGCTGAAAGTCCTTGCTAGAGCAATTAGAAAAGAGAGGGGAATTAAGGGGGTCCAAATGGGGGCAGAAGAGATAAAACTCTCGCTCTTTGCCGATGATATGATATTATACCTAGAAAATCCCAAGGATTCAACCAAGAGACTCCTAGAATTGATAAATGAATTCAGTAAAGTCTCAGGATACAAAATCAATACACAAAAATCAGAGACATTCATATATGTCAATAATTGTCAAGCCTAAATTCAAATAAAAAATGCAATACCTTTTACAATAGCCTCAAAGAAAACTAAATATCTAGAACTATCTTTAATGAAAGACATGAGAGACATATACAAGGAAAACTATGAAACACTAAGAAAAGAAATTGTAGAAGATGTAAACAGATGGAAAAACCTACCTTGCTCATGGATTGGTAGAATCAATATCGTTAAAATGTCCATAGTACCTAACGTGATCTACGGAATTAATGCAATCTCTATCAAAGTACCATCACCATTCTTTACAATTCCAGAAAAAACAATACACTTTGTATGGAAGCAGAGAAGACCTCGTACAGCCAAAGCAATCTTAAGTAAAAAAAACAAACTGGGAGGTATCAGTCTACCAGACTTCAAGCTGTACCACATGGTTATAGTAACTAAATCAGCATGGTACTGGCACAAGAACAGAGACATAGACCTTTGGAGCAGGACTGAGAATGCACAGAGGAAACCATCTGCATATGGTAATCTAATCTTTGACAAAGCAGACAAAATATACACTGGGGAAAAGAATCTCTTTTCAATAAATAGTGCTGGGAAAACTGTATAGCTACATGCAGAAGAATGAAACTGGAACCCCACCTCTCACCTCTCACAAAAATCAATTCAAGATGGATAACAGACTTAAACCTAAGGCATGAAATCTTAAGAATTCTAGAAGAAGATGTTGGGA